TAATTAACTATTTAATTTAGGAATTAAATTTGATTAATTTCCCAAATAAAATAGAAAATTATTAAATTGATTTTGACATGGAATTTGACACTTGTCGCCATTTTATTGGCTCAAAATTTAATTGCCTACAGTTACGAGCAAAGGACTTAAGGGTTGTACAATAAGAGAGAAAGAATCAAAGGAATGAATCAAAGGAAAGAATCACTTGTTCAATGACACTTGCCTAGAAATTGACGTGGTAAGTTAGGAAGTGTGATTTACTTATATCTTTTTCCTAACAAGGACTCTCTCTTGGGCACCAAGATAGCTGCCATATTTAAGGGTGTCAAGTTATTATTTATAACATATCACATTCTACACCTTAAATTATATATTCTCGTATACAATTATTTGAGCAAGTTCTGACTTGAGCGTCAGAACTTTTTCACCGGGACCCCATCCCAGCGTTTTGTAGGTCATTGAGCTCAAAGACGGAGGAAGTTCACGACATAGGTGGTTCAACCTGGTTCATGACAAATGTGACGTAGCACACTCCGAGGCTCAAGTTCGCTTTCAAACTCTAGAATTTTGTAATTGCACGCACAAAGCATAATGATCACATGTTTAGATTTTTTCATCTTGGTATTGAACTACATATAATCACAGACTATACATTGACGAAGTTATCTAGGTTAACATGATCCTTCCAACTCTAGGCAAGATCCACTCAATCTTCTTGTGCATGTAGGAAAAGGTGTATTTCGTTGCAATCATGTCTTAAGTAATCGTTTAGATCAATTCCCCAAACTCTTTGTTGTCCTCCTCAAACTCGGGTATAGTAAGGTCATCCGAGCACCCTGATCATTAGCTCGCGTATATTCCACCATGTGCATAAACTTGTACAGGTCGATCCGGAGCTCTCGTGTCCTTAGAATGAACGAACTGAGCTTTTAATTAACCACTCAAGTTCTATATAAATCGACTTGCGCCTGTTGTCTATCGAGTGAACATTCAAATTGTTATGATGCTATATCACAAATGATTATGCAGCCCTAAAAGAAAGATATTATTGTTGTGAGATTATATATATATATGTGTGTGTGTGTGTGTGTGTGTGTGTGTGTGTGTGTATGTGTGTGTGTGTGTGTATGTATGTATGTATGTATCCAATGAGGCATTTTCAATGAGAATGTGAGATTTAATTCTAACCACTAATTTGTGTAAGATCAATACTCATATTAATTAATTGAGATTTATATTAATTATATAACAAAAGTTAATAATCACCATATTATAATTACTTATATAATAAAAAAACAATTGATTGGCGTTGACGGACGATCTTTGGCTGGTGGTAACCGATGTTACTCGACATCGACTAACAACCGATGACATCGACCAACGTTGATAAAGTGGTTGGCAGACGTTGACAAACATTAGTTGTCGATCGTTAATGATAACGACGACACCATCAGTTTCAAGGTTGCACATTTATGTTATACATTATGTATAATTAGAATACAAATTGCATGTTTTTATATCAATTAAATATGCATCATGTATGAACTAAATGTTAATTCTTAATTGACGGTGGTGACAGATTTTGTTGATCACCAATCAACATCGGCATCCTACAGTCAACGGTTAATGCCACCACCACTGGTCTGTTGGGATCTGTAAGGTTCGTCTTATTGTACAAGTCGCAAATTAATCTACGAATGAACATATGCAGAGCGAATTGAAAGTTTAACGTAGAAAATTTACGACATAAAAATCATAAACTCTGAGACACTTTAGATTCCCATTGATGCAGATCTGTTGATTCCACTCACTGGAAATATCGTCTCTTTGGAGGCTCGGAGTCACTAGGAGATCGCGCAGGTCGGACGAGCTCGATTGTTTAGGGCTTGTGGCTGGTGTGCTCGGTCACAAGTCGTACGGGGTGGCCGTGCACGTCGCAGGTCATGCGTTCGGGCTAGTGCATGTTGTCTCGACTAGGCGCGATTGAACGATGGTGATCAGGTGCTCGGGCGGATGATGCTTGGGTGCTCGACTACGAAAGGACCTTATATTGTATTCCTAATGCCTCTAGAACTCCTTTGGTGGGAAAAGAAATCTAGATCTCTCATAAAGTACTGGGACTCTTGTGTATGTTGTGTCTTCCAAACAGTACGAGAGAAGGTGTATTTATAGGCTACAATAGAACCCTAATTAGGTGTTAAATTGGGCTCACTTAGCTTATATATAAGTAATACAGTCATTTCACTAAAGTAGTATTATTGCAACTCTCAAATTAAGATTTTATCTCTAATTATTATTACTGGAGTTACTTCTGCATGTTTAAGATATATTGTCAATCAATTAGTTTAATTATAGACAATCAAATTAATTGATATCTTGTGCCGAAGCTAGCACCACTCAAATCATTACTATTATGTCAGAGCTTAAACCACCTGTAGGGTTTAACATTAAAATCTTTCTTGAGTACACTTCGGGGACATCATCAAACTGAGGCACGTGATGGCCCTAAATATTTTAACAGCACACCATGCATGAAACATTACTACCCAACTCAACGGTTATTGATCCAGACATAATCAACCTCACCGGGATGAATTGGAATAGTAACTACTACATACATGTGTCTGTTTATATCTTACGGGTTAAGAAAACACAATAGTTAATCGAGGCCTAGTTCATTTACCAACTGCACCGCAATCATTTCGATGGCTTGTTCAATTTTCACCTATGTTCTAAACCAATTCTTTATGTTTCACAAGTTACTGATAAATGATCTTTTGTCCATCCGTGATAAACCATTTATCTAAGTGCAAATCAACAGAACATAGAACTTGTTTAATCAAACATAATTCTAATTCAATGGAAATAAAGAGTGTAAATAACCCAAATCAAATCTTTTAACATATACAGTAATAATCTCTCACTTATACTTAAAATCTCTCGCATCTACTAGTATACATCTTTCAATACTTATTCTAAAAGACCTATGTCGATCTTGGTGCCACACATCTGACTCTCATTTCTTTCGCGTGTCAAGCGAAGACCTTCCCGGGCAGACTCTTCGATGAAAGAAACATCTTGGTTGTCTTCGGATGCAATCTGGGAAACCTCGACGTCTTCTCTCCCTACGATTTCTCCTATTAGGTGGTATTTATGATTTATGTGTTTTCTCGCCTTGTGAGATCATGGTTCCCTTGAGTTTTCTACTGCACCACTGTTGTCAAAATAAACTATGACAGCCTGTGGCAAAGTAGGAATCACCTCTAAGTACACTGTTTGTCCCATTTTTGTGCCATTTTAGGTCATTATTTTACCGTTCTTTTTCCCCCATATTGAGTCGGTTAGGTAGTTTTAGGATCTGTTTGTCGTTTATTTTGTGTTTTGCGTTCATTTGAGTGTTTCAGTGTTTTCCGTTTGTTTTCTGGCCTTTTTCTGTTCTCTTTTCGTTTTTGATGCGTAGTTTGGAGACCCTGGAGGAACAGGTTTTCGAGAATCTATTGGGGAAACTGACACCATTAGAAAGAGGGGCTCGTTAGCGACGCGTAGGAAAAAACGGAACTCAATTCCGAGTCCGAACGAGCCCGTACGAGCAAAAACAAAGACGACGCGCAAAGCTGCCCAGGCCATAGCGCCGCTATGGCCATAGCGCCGCTATGGCCAACCCAGATAGCGACGCTACACTGCAAAGCGATGGGCAGAAGCTAGAGCATCCCCAGCCATAGCAAAGCTATGGCCATAGCGCCGCTATGCCCTGATTTGTAACTGCTGCATTTTTCTCGGATTTTTGAATGGGAGGCTTATTAGATCGGACCTAGGGCATATTTTTGACATTCCAGACCTTGTTTTTTCGACTTTTCTCCATAGAAAACATATTTTCTCTCTTAGATTTGCATTTAGATTGGATTTGGAGAGTAAAAACTCCCTTTCT